TTTGTTTGCAAAATAAATTTTATATTGTACATCTTTGTTATGGAATTGAATTTTTGTCCAATATTACGTATACGTAATAAGATGACACACAGTGGTATAGGGGAAAAAAAAGAGGGAAATAATTCGGTAACTTCTAAACGGTTAATCCGATTTTGATGAAATTTGGTATGCACAAAGAGGAGGTGTTGTCGAGTCTAGGTTTTGAATTTGGACCTTATAGGCCAACCAGGGGCCCGGCGGAGGGTCCTCAAATTAGGACACCTCGGCTATGTTAAATTTTTAAAACGATCCTATTTCTTCATTTGAGTTCCGATTTAAAAAAATTTCGTATATAGAAACTCCTCATCAAGCACTATAAAAAATGTCGTCATAGCAGTAAATTATCTCTTATAGTTTAGGAGATATTCGCATTTGAAAATTAAAATTTTAAAATTTTTACCGTCCTTACTTTAGTTTTTTGATAATAGCGGGTCCAAATATTCCCGATTTTCCGCCATTTTTTTTTATTCGCTTAACAACAAGTTTATATATCAAGCAGTGAAAGAATGATGTAAAACTCATGACTGAGTCCAAAGATATAGGCATTTTAATTTAAAAAATTAAAAAAGGCGATTTTTTGTATTTTTTTTTTTTTTTTTTTTTTTGTTAAAAAAGTATCTTTTTCTTTTTAAGTTATCTAAAAAGTTTCTAAGAAGATGTATATAGAATTTATACTTTTTGGAAAGCTGACTTTACATAAAATGCGATAAATGAAACAAAACCTAAAAAATTTTGATACCGAGGGGACCAGGTCCATCCAAAAAAACCCTATTTTTTATGGAAAATTAAATTTTGAGCAAAAATTCTCAAATCGCATAGTCGATATCAAATTATAGTGACCTGTTTTATATGACCCAATATGTTCTTAATCATTTTGTAACGGGTTTCGATAACCCCGCCCCTGGTATGGATATAATAGGCAAAAAAACCAAAAAATCCCATTTTTGGGATTTTTTAAAACTTTTTTTGGGAATTCCGGGATTTCTAATAAGAAAATTCGAAATTTTTATTTAATTTTGGATTTTGAGTAAAAAAATCTACCTAACTGTAAAATTTCATCAAAAAATATTCATAAATAAAATTTTTATTGCAATTTGAAAAATTTGTATCTTCGCAAAAACTGAATAAAAAAAATTTTTTAATTTTTTTTAAAAAAAGTATTCCGCGATTTTTTTAATTTTCAAAAATTATATACAGTTTTGAAAAATAGACAAAATTACCTTTCCATTGATATATAACATGCCTACCTAATGTTTTTTAAGTGACAAATTAATTAGGGAAAACTCAACATCTTTTAGAAAATTTACCTAGCACTATTATTTTCATCCATATATGTAACAAATTTAAGAGTTAACCTTATGGATGAAAATAATAGTGCTAGGCAAATTTTCTAAAAGATGTTGAGTTTTCCCTAATTAATTTGTCACTTAAAAACATTAGGTAGGCATGTTATATATCAATGGAAAGGTAATTTTGTCTATTTTTCAAAACTGTGAAAATTAAAAAATTCGCGGAATACTTTTTTTAAAAAAAATTAAAAAATGTTTTTTATTCAGTTTTTGCGAAGATACAAAATTTAATTTTTGAAAATTAAAAAATTCGCGGAAAACTTTTTTAAAAAAAAAAATAAAAAATGTTTTTTATTCAGTTTTTGCGAAGATACAAATTTTTCAAATTGCAATAAAAATTTTATTTATGAATATTTTTTGATGAAATTTTACAGTAGGTAGATTTTTTTACTCAAAATCCAAAATTAAATAAAAATTTCGAATTTTCTTATTAGAAATCCCGGAATTCCCAAAAAAGTTTTAAAAAATCCCAAAAATGGGATTTTTTGGTTTTTTGCCTATTATATCCATACCAGGGGCGGGGTTATCGAAACCCGTTACAAAATGATTAAGAACATATTGGGTCATATAAAACAGGTCACTATAATCCCGGAATTCCCAAAAAAGTTTTAAAAAATCCCAAAAATGGGATTTTTTGGTTTTTTGCCTATTATATCCATACCAGGGGCGGGGTTATCGAAACCCGTTACAAAATGATTAAGAACATATTGGGTCATATAAAACAGGTCACTATAATTTGATATCGACTATGCGATTTGAGAATTTTTGCTCAAAATTTAATTTTCCATAAAAAATAGGGTTTTTTTGGATGGACCTGGTCCCCTCGGTATCAAAATTTTTTAGGTTTTGTTTCATTTATCGCATTTTATGTAAAGTCAGCTTTCCAAAAAGTATAAATTCTATATACATCTTCTTAGAAACTTTTTAGATAACTTAAAAAGAAAAAGATACTTTTTTAACAAAAAAAAAAAATACAAAAAATCGCCTTTTTTTAATTTTTTAAATTAAAATGCCTATATCTTTGGACTCAGTCATGATTTTTACATAATTCTTTCACTGCTTGATATATAAACTTGTTGTTAAGCGAATAAAAAAAATGGCGAAAATCGGGAATGTTTGGACCCGCTATTATCAAAAAAACTAAGTAAGGACGGTAAAAATTTTAAAAATTTTAATTTTCAAATGCGAATATCTCCTAAACTATAAGAGATAATTTACTGCGACATTTTTTATAGTGCACGATGAGTAGATTCTATATACGAAATTTTTTTTAAATCGGAACTCAAATGAAGAAATAGGATCGTTTTAAAAATTTAACATAGCCGAGGTGTCCTAATTTGAGGACCCCCCTATAGTCTAGTCTATAGTCTAGTCTATAGTCTAGTCTATAGTCTAGCTATAGTAGTCTATAGTCTAGTCTATAGTCTAGTCTATAGTCTAGTCTATAGTCTAGTCTATAGTCTAGTCTATAGTCTAGTCTATAGTCTAGTCTATAGTCTAGTCTATAGTCTAGTCTATAGTCTAGTCTATAGTCTAGTCTATAGTCTAGTCTATAGTCTAGTCTATAGTCTAGTCTATAGTCTAGTCTATAGTCTAGTCTATAGTCTAGTCTATAGTCTAGTCTATAGTCTAGTCTATAGTCTAGTCTATAGTCTAGTCTATAGTCTAGTCTATAGTCTAGTCTATAGTCTAGTCTATAGTCTAGTCTATAGTCTAGTCTATAGTCTAGTCTAGTCTAGTCTATAGTCTAGTCTATAGTCTAGTCTATAGTCTAGTCTATAGTCTAGTCTATAGTCTAGTCTAGTCTAGTCTAGTCTATAGTCTAGTCTATAGTCTAGTCTATAGTCTAGTCTATAGTCTAGTCTATAGTCTAGTCTATAGTCTAGTCTATAGTCTAGTCTATAGTCTAGTCTATAGTCTAGTCTATAGTCTAGTCTATAGTCTAGTCTATAGTCTAGTCTATAGTCTAGTCTATAGTCTAGTCTATAGTCTAGTCTATAGTCTAGTCTATAGTCTAGTCTATAGTCTAGTCTATAGTCTAGTCTATAGTCTAGTCTATAGTCTAGTCTATAGTCTAGTCTATAGTCTAGTCTATAGTCTAGTCTATAGTCTAGTCTATAGTCTAGTCTATAGTCTAGTCTATAGTCTAGTCTATAGTCTAGTCTATAGTCTAGTCTATAGTCTAGTCTATAGTCTAGTCTATAGTCTAGTCTATAGTCTAGTCTATAGTCTAGTCTATAGTCTAGTCTAGTAGTCTAGTCTATAGTCTAGTCTATAGTCTAGTCTATAGTCTAGTCTATAGTCTAGTCTATAGTCTAGTCTATAGTCTAGTCTATAGTCTAGTCTATAGTCTAGTCTATAGTCTATATTAGTCTAGTCTATAGTCTAGTCTATCAGTCTAGTCTATAGTCTAGTCTATAGTCTATAGTCTAGCCTCTAGTAGTCTAGTCTATAGTCTAGTCTAGTCTATAGTCTGTCTATAGTCTAGTCTTAATCTAGTCTATAGTCTATCTATAGTATATTCTAAAGTCTAGTCTATTCTATAGTCTCGTCTATAGTCTAGTCGCTTATAATCCAGACTATGCAAACAGACGGCAGTCATATTGTAATTGAACTTTTGTTTATGCAATTGTATTGTAGGAAAGGTTAATTCTGGAATTAAAGGAACTTCTAATGAAATCCATAAATTAGTGATGGAAATATAGAATAATTCTAAGAAAATTTTCTCCATTTACTTAAGAATAAAAAGCAAAGGGGTAAATTGTTAAATGGCGTACGTGCCAAACCACATGCACAAACTTTCACAATTGAAGAAAAGTACCTACATAAACACTTTATATACATATTTTATTAATTAAGTGTGCAGAAAAATTATTTTTGCACTAGTTTTTACACTTGTTTAAATTAGAAAAAGTATTTTATAAATTATAAACAAAACTTACCTGTTTGTTGTTTGCTTATTTACCTAAAATAAACTTTTACTCAATCAAAAAAGTGAGTGAATGATGACAGAAATCTGAACGAAAAATTCAAATCAATCAAGTAGTGTCAGTCTCTTTTTTCTTTCTTCTCCATGCCTTTTCCGCCTTTCTATTTGCATTTTTTTTTTGTTTTGCATATAATTTTTGTTTAGTTTGAAGATGTTTGTTTAATTTTTGCATTATTTTTGTGTTCCACTCTCTTTTATAGAATTTAAATTCGTTTATAGTATAATTGTTGTTTTTCTTTGTTTGTTTTTTTTTTATTGTAGTAGTGTGCACATGCTTTTAATTATTGTTATTGTTGTATGATTTCATACACATTTCTAAGCCATTGTATGTGTTGCTGCATTGCGCATGTTGGGTGATTCAATTGTACTTTAAAATTCTCCTGGCAATTACTCAAATTGTACTTGTTGTATTAATCAATCTTAGTATGTTTGTTGTTATTATTGTTACTGATTGTGTTTATAGGTAAGTTATTTCTACACTTTGTTATTGCTGTTTGATAATATTTTTGCACATGTAAAAGCTAGAATGTTGTTGTACTCTCAATTATTTGTAAGAAGGTTTTACTGTTCTCTTTCTTTTGTTGTTTACATTTCAAAATGTTGTTTGTTTACTTTCGGTTGATGTTGGTTTTAGCCATCCCAATGCTGTACATTTGTGTTCATATGATTTTTAAGGTGTTTTAGCAATTCAGCTGCGTCTAGTCTATAGTAGAAATTTGATTTTCTTTCCGAAGTAAGTAGTATGGTTAAAACTGAGATGGGTGAGATGAGGAAATTTCATTCCTCATTTCAGAAGAAATATGAATCTCAACAAAAAATTAATTAAAATTTTACAATCTAATGAAAATTGCAATAAATTTTTATCAAAACAAAATTATTATAGTCACTCTTTCATTCTTATCAACTACACTAGAAAACATAAAAGGGAAGAATAGAGAAAAAGGAAACGTCAAACTACAAGGTCATTAGAAATGCAGTTCAACACACTTTTATCTTTTTCGTGCATTCTATTTGCTAAAAACAACCCATCAGTGTGGCTGACGTCGCAAAACACGCAAACAAACAAAAAATTTATAAAAAACAATGGTATAAATAAATAAAAAGCAAATAATAATAATTTAGAATAAATGAACTCTTTCTTTAAAAACAAAAACTTTAAAAATATGGTTTGTGTTATCAGTAAGTGAAAAAAATTAACAAAAAACAACAATTTCTTTTGTGTAGAGGAGGGAGATAGTTTCCTTGACCATAACCTAGAATACACACATACACAAATTATAAATATAAAAAAATAATCATACAAAAAAAAAAATAAAAATAATCTAAATGTTTTTTTTTTTTTTTTGGTAAAAGTGTGTTGATGATTGTACAATTTTTTTTTTAAATTAGAATAATTTGTTTTTTTATTTGCGGTTTTACAGCAACAATTCTTACTTTAAGAGGTGTTTTGTTTTGTTAATTGTTGTTGTAGGGGTTCGCCGTCACTATTTATTTATCTGCAAAAGCCAATGAACGCAAAAGAAAATAAATATTATTTAGCAGGTATTATTTATTTTCTTCTTTAAAAATAGTGTTATTTATTCAATTAAATAACAAACTAATAAATATCGAAAAAAAAAACTGTAATCATTTATTTCCACATTATTATTGTTGTTCATGTGAGTCGATAATATAACATACATACATACATATACATAAGTATACATATTTATATTACGTACATATTATATCAAAACAACTTTAAATATTAATACCAGAGGTAAGAAACCTACTAAATTCAACGTCCTCCAAATTTCTCAATTTGTAAAGTTGTAATGGTTGGGTAACCTAAATGACAATGATAAGTCGATTCCATATTTATTTCAGAGCAAAGAATATAACATCCATCTTTCACTCTCTACTGTAGAGAAAGTTCTTTTCGGTAATTTTAGTTTCTGTTCTAGTAGAGTTCTAATTCTAGTTCAGTTTTAGTAGCTTAGTTAGTATAGCTTTGTCTAGTTCAGTTCTAGTTCAGTACTGTTCAGTTCTAGTCAGTTCTAGTTCAGTTACTAGTTCAGGTCTAGTTCAGTTTCTAGTTCAGTTCTAGTTCAGTTCTAGTTCAGTTCTAGTTCAGTTCTAGTTCAGTTCTAGTTCAGTTTCTAGTTCAGTTTCTAGTTCAGTTCTAGTTCAGTTCTAGTTCCCAGTTCTAGTCAGTTCTAGTTCAGTTCTAGTTCAGTTCTAGTTCAGTTCTAGTTTCAGTTCTAGTTCAGTTCTAGTTCAGGTTCTAGTTCAGTTCTAGTTCAGTTCTCTAGTTCAGTTCTAGTTACAGTTCTAGTTCATTCTAGTTCAGTTCAGTTCTAGTTCAGTTCTAGTTCAGTTCTAGTTCAGTTCTAGTTCAGTTCTAGTTCAGTTCTAGTTCAGTCAGTTCAGTTCTAGTTCAGGTTCTAGTTCAGTTCTAGTTCAGTTCTAGTTCAGTTCTAGTTCAGTTCTAGTTCAGTTCTAGTTCAGTTCTAGTTTCAGTTCTAGTTCAGTTCTAGTTCAGTTCTAGTTCAGTTCTAGTTCAGATCTAGTTCAGTTCTAGTTCAGTTCTAGTTCAGTTCTAGTTCAGTTCTAGTTCAGTTCTAGGTTCAGTTCTAGTTCAGTTCCTAGGTTCTAGTTTCAGTTCTAGTTCAGTTCTAGTTCAGTTCTAGTTCAGTTCTAGTTCAGTTCTAGTTCAGTTCTAGTTCAGTTCTAGTTCAGTTCTAGTTCAGTTCTAGTTCAGTTCTAGTTCAGTTCTAGTTCAGTTCTAGTTCAGTTCTAGTTCAGTTCTAGTTCAGTTCTAGTTCAGTTCTAGTTCAGTTCTAGTTCAGTTCTAGTTCAGTTCTAGTTCAGTTCTAGTTCAGTTCTAGTTCAGTTCTAGTTCAGTTCTAGTTCAGTTCTAGTTCAGGTCTAGTTCAGTTCTAGTTCAGTTCTAGTTCAGTTCTAGTTCAGTTCTAGTGCAGTTCTAGTTCAGTTCTAGTTCAGTTCTAGTTCAGTTCTAGTTCAGTTCTAGTTTCAGTTCTAGTTCAGTACTAGTTCAGTTCTAGTACTAGTTCAGTTCGACCTCATTTCTAGTTCAGTTCTAGTTTATTTCAAGTTCAGTTCTAGTTCCGTTCAGTTCTAGTTTAGTTCTAGTCCAGTTCTAGTTCAGTTCTAGTTCAGTTCTAGTTCAGTTCTAGTTCAGTTTCTAGTTCAGTTCTAGTTCAGTTCTAGTTCAGTTCTAGTTCAGTTCTAGTTCAGTTTTAGTTAGTTTTCTAGTTCGTTCTAGTCAGTTCATAGTTCAGTTCTAGTTCAGTTCTAGTTCAGTTCTGTTCAGTTCTAGTTCAGTTCTAGTTCAGTTCTAGTTCAGTTCTAGTTCAGTTCTAGTTCAGTTCTAGTTCTAGTTCAGTTCAAGTTCAGTTCTAGTTCAGTTCTAGTTCTAGTTCAGTTCTAGTTCAGTTCTAGTTCAGTTTCTAGTTCAGTTTTAGTTCAGTTCTAGTCAGTTCTAGTTCAGTTCTAGTTCAGTTCTAGTTCAGTTCTAGTTCAGTTCTAGTTCAGTTCTAGTTCAGTTCTAGTTCAGTTCTAGTTCAGTTCTAGTTCAGTTCTAGTTCAGTTCTAGTTCTAGTTCAGTTCTAGTTCAGTTCTAGTTCAGTTCTAGTTTCAGTTCTAGTTCAGTTCTAGTTCAGTTCTAGTTCAGTTCTAGTTCAGTTCTAGTTCAGTTCTAGTTCAGTTCTAGTTTCAGTTCTAGTTTCTAGTTCAGTTCTAGTTCAGTTCTAGTTCAGTTCTAGTTTCAGTAGTTCAGTGTTCTAGTTCAGTTCTATTTCAGTTCTATTTCAGTTCTAGTTCAGTTCTAAGTTCAGTTCTAGTTCAGTTCTAGTTCAGTTCTAGTTCAGTTCTAGTTCAGTTCTAGTTCAGTTTCTGTCAGTTCTAGTTCAGTTCTAGTTCAGTTCTAGTTCAGTTCTAGTTCAGTTCTAGTTCAGTTCTAGTTCAGTTCTAGTTCAGTTCTAGTTCAGTTCTAGTTCAGTACTAGTTCAGTTCTAGTTCAGTTCTAGTTCAGTACTAGTTCAGTTCTAGTTCAGTTCAGTATTAGTTCAGTTCTAGTACTAGTTCAGTTCTAGTTCAGTTCTAGTTCAGTTCTAGTTCAGTTCTAGTTCAGTTCTAGTTCAGTTCTAGTTCAGTTCTAGTTCAGTTCTAGTTCAGTTCTAGTTCAGTTCTAGTTCAGTTCAGTTCTAGTTCAGTTCTAGTTCAGTTCTAGTTCAGTTCTAGTTCAGTTCTAGTTGAGTTCTAGTTCAGTTCCAGTTCAGTTCTAGTTCAGTTCTAGTTCAGTTCTAGTTCGGTGTAAGCCATAGATATTACCATTAATTTTGCACTTCTCAATTCAGGCCAGCAAATTAAATGTTGTTTATTTATTATACAAATTATTATTTTTATTTTCCTTTTTATTATTATTATTTGCAATTGAAAAAATTCTCCAAACAAACAACAAATGTGCAAAAAACAAATAAAATCTTTGAAAGTGTATTTTTGGGAGAGGGAGTGAGTGAATGTAAGGTAAAAAATTAAAAATTGTGTTAATGTGTGACCGATTGACGACGTCCGACGTCTATTTCTAGATCAATTTTATTTTGTGTGGTGCATGCACAAAATGTGAGCAAACTTTTTCAAGGTCATCTCAAAACAACAACAACACAACATGTGCGCGCTCATAAAATAATTTATATAAAAAAATAAATTTTTATATTGTATATTTCTACGAAAAATAATAAATAAATTTTATACTATAAACCACAAAAAACCATGCACCTTCTTCCTTTCTTTCTCATGCCAGAAAATAAAGAAGAGCGCGCTAAAAATGTTGACTAAATTAATAAATTAGAACGATCAACATGGAAAGAACTCTTCGTACAAAAAACTCTTATCTCTTTGCAAGTGTGCAAAGTGATATTTTTATTAGACGGGGAGGAAGGTGTTGGGTGTGGTAAAATTGGTGATCATGCATTCTAATTGCAAGCACCAAAGTTTTTATTTATTTTATTCATATTTCGCAGCTGCAGGTAGGTTTTGTTTGGTTTGGGAGAAATAATAAATATAATAATAATTTAGAAATTTCTCAATTTATCTGAGTGAAAATAATCTATCTATCTATCTATCTATCTATCTATCTATATCTATCTATCTATCTATCTATCTATCTATCTATCTATCTATCTATCTATCTCTACTATCTATCTATCTATCTATCTATCTATCTATCTATCTATCTATCTATCTATCTATCTATCTATTCTATCTATCTATCTATCTAGCTATCTATCTATCTTATCTATCTATCTATCTATCTATCTATCTATCTATCTACTATCTATCTATCTATCTATCTATCTATCTATCTATCTATCTAGCTATCTATCTATCTATCTATCTATCTATCTATCTATCTATCTATCTATCTATCTATCTATCTATCTATCTATCTATCTATCTATCTAATCTATCTATCTATCTATCTATCTATCTATCTATCTATCTATCTATCTATCTATCTATCTATCTATCTATCTCTATCTATCTATCTATCTATCTATCTATCTATCTAGCTATCTATCTATCTATCTATCTATCTATCTATCTATCTATCTATCTATCT